GAATGTTTGGGGTAGAATCCACCAGATGCATGCGTGAGAGTGAGTAAAACTACAGAAGATTCTCCATCCAGCGTTTATTTCAAAGGAAGCATGGGTCTAGCAATGTTGTTCTTGCTCTGGGACGATTGTCATAATCTCAAACTTGACCGAGTACCAATTATTTATGAGTATTTGTTTGTTTTGGAATTATTTTTCAAGCTAATTATTTTAATTTCGTTTAATTTTGATTTTTTCGCTGCAGAAGAAATGAAAACTCATTTATCTACGGTTTGGGTGGTGACCGATCTGGAAACTGCCGAAGGTAGACTTTTGACTTACAATGCAATCAAACACCTCAAACGTTCGCATATCATGCGTGTTGCCATCATCAACAATCCCAAAGATGTAAGTTTTTCTTTTTTTTCGAATAGAAAAAAAAAACATTTCTAGAAAAAAATAACATTATAATTATTGCTAAATCACAACCGTCATACTGACGAGGTCCAGTTGTGCTGTTAGAAAAAAATGTATATTATTCACAGACTGAAACATTCTTTTTAGTTATGCCTCCGTTTTCTTCAAATTTTTCACGAAGTAGAGAGACTGTACTCCTAGCGCCCTATTTTCATTTCAAAAGAAAAAAAAGCATTGTAGGTTTCCTGGAATCTCAGGATTGCTTAAACTCCGACTAACAGATGATGCAACAACCTAAATTCCCCTTGAGCGTGGCTACAGTCCCTAGAAAGTGCTAGGCCTGTACGAGTGGTGAAACATTTGGTTGGGTTGCACTTTGGAGTCGGGTTGCCTGAGATCGCAACCGAAATTGGGTGATAAACCTCATCTGAGGCTAATTTCGGCCAGGAGATTGATAGCAAACAAGTATCGTGAGGAGAGGTTGCAAAGAACTTTGAAAAGAGAGAGTTCAAGAGGGCAAGTGAAACCGCTGAGATGGAAACGGATAGCGTTGACAAAACTTATCGGTGTTCGACCGAGTAATTCAGCCGGTCTTACTGTTCTGTAACTGTGATGGTAAAACACATGGAGAGCATTGCGATGAACTTACTGTTGGGCTGAATTGTTCTATTTGTCGGCAGTATGCACCGAAAATTTCGTTGCTGCAAAATTAAGACATTTGTGGACGGTCATAATATCTTTATATGTTAAAAGAATCGTCAATTCGGGTAAGGGAATCCCCTTATATGGATATATAGAACTCCCCACGCTGTCCGTAGTTTCGCATTTTGGTTTTTGCTTTAGAAGCATTCTAAATTAGGGCATTAATCTTGCATTTTTTTCTTTTTTTTTTGGTTTAACGGATCGCATTTTCTTATGTCCTCTTTGATAAATTTGCTTTACTGAAAGTGTTGATCGAGTAGTACCACATTTGAGTAAATGAGAAGTAAAATTAGGAAGAGTTTTTGTTCGATAAAGTGCCAAAATAAAGTACCCAGGTCCTCTTTTTTGTTTGTAACAGAAATTTTATTTTATGGCAATTGAAAGTCTGAACTGTATATTTTAAAATACCAAAACTGGACGGTCCGGAAGCAAATAAAATAAGGATCAGTCAGATCCAACGAATTTTTAATCTCAGTCAGATCCAACGAGTTTTTAACCCCAGGGTAAGATTGATTTAATGCGGTAAAGCTTTTTAGTAAAAGGAAAGATTGTAGGCTCAGTTCATGTGACACGAAACCCTCGGACATGTTGTATAGAGGGTCATTTGGATGGGAATATGTAGGAAGAAAAAATCTAAGACTACGAAACTGATTTTGACAATGGCACTATGTCTGGAACTCAAATGATATTGTAGATTGAATCAGCCTCAGCATCGAACAGCATTTCTATGCTCGTAAATTTCGCATCACGCGTACTTGTCCCAAAACAGATGAAGCAGTTTGTAACGAAATTGGTGAAAGAAGAAATCATTTCAAAATTACAAAACATGGAAATAACACTGGATGATATTGCTGTCCATGTGAGTTTAGTTTTACATGTTTTACTTCAAATTCGATTACAGCGGTTGTACTGACGAAGTCCAGCTGTGGTAATGGTAAGAAATGTATACGATTTAATGAACCGAAACATTTCTTACGATCATAATAATCTTATTAAAATATCTTTAATACTTTTATTAATTTCCTAATATTACTTTCTCTTCTATTCTTCCTACTTCAAACTACCTTCCTATTCGATATTTTGGCTCTATCTTGTTTTATAGTTTCGTTAGTTAGCTAGCAGGCTTCCGTTCTGAGAACTATTTTGGGCCTACCTGATCCATATAATTCGGCATAGCAGCTCAAACAGATCTCTCTTCCACACTGTCGGCCTCTGTTCTTTTAACATTGCTGTTGGGAGCAAATGATCTTGCTCTCCCCTTTCGAGAACGTTCCAGCGCACAGATCTGGAGCGTAGATCGACTGGAGAAGTTTAGGGCAGTGTGTCGGCGATCGACAGGACTGTGCGGCCGACACAAGGATCGACATCTCGCCCCAGCAGCAGCTTCGACAACGTCTCGAGGAACGCGGAATTGGAAGGCCGAACGGACCGTGTTGACCGTGGTACCCCGGTCAGCACCAACCGAAGAATCATAGACTCGGAGCTCCGTAACTGCCAGTTTGATATTTTCTGTTGTACTAATAAAATCGAACTCAACGTGTGTTGCAGCGGACACAACAACTGCATGAGTACCATTCAGTAATCGAACCTGTTCATATGTCTCTCATTCTTGTCACATAGCCAGTCCACTTCTTCCGAGGTTTACTTCGTCTTGATAATATCGCTCACGCCAGACTGGAATATTGAAAATAAGCTGCAACTTGTTGACACCTAACCGGTTTTACTTCAGCAGTTAAGATATTTCATGTGTCACTTTTGTTCAGTGGGACTCGTAACACAATTTTAAATTGGAAAAACTCGTTTTCGCAATCGTATTTAGTGCACCATGCGGGAGATCTAAATGACAGATCCAGCGTTTTCATTAGTTACCAAAATTCGACCGTGTTCCTCTTCATGGCAAGCCAGCAACGCCAAACAAATTGCATGTGTTAAGGCGTAGGCGATTTTTGGCTCCCGTTCTTTTCCAGTCTCCTAGCCAGAGATATTCATTGTTTATGTCTCTAAAATTTCTACATTACTTTTAATGGCTATCTTGCTTAGCATGAAGCCTTGGCGATTTGCAGCATAATGTATCAACAGGACTGTTATCCTAAAATCTCTGACCATTTGCCGTTTCGAAGCAAATTCTTCCATCATTTTGAGTAAGAAGCATGCGCATTTAATTTTCAGATATTTTTTTACCTCTTATTGAAGTCTGCTTGCGTCTTTGAATACGAAGAATCGTACCAGCGAGGAGCTTTGGTGTTATTGTGATGTACTAACACCTCAGAAGAAGCTGTTCCGAGCTTTTATTCCGGGCTACTACATTTCTCCAGCTTGTAACGACTGGCGTCCTTAGCGAAGACCCTAGGCGGACTCTAAGGGATGGGAAGGGGGTGAGGGATCTTCCCCTCCCTTATCCCCCACGGCAGCGGCGCAGGCATCAGTGCTGCAAAA